CTCCTCCTCCTCCTCCTCCTCCTCCTCCTCGCCCTCCTCCTCTTTCCCTCCTCCCCTCTCCGCCCTCCGCTCTCCGCTCTCCGCCCTCTTCCTCCTCCTCTCCTCCTCCTCCTCCTCCTCCTCCTCCTCCTCCTCCTCCCCCCCTCCTCCGCGTCCTGCTCCTCCTCCTCCTCCTCCTCCTCCACCTCCTCCGCCCTCCTCCTTCTCCTCCTCCGCCCTCCTCCTCGTCCTCCTCCCTCCTCCCTCCCTCCCTCGGAATGCCCAGGGCGTCGGCCTCGGCTCAGCATTCGACCTCGAGGGACGCCGAGGCCGAGTCGCTTCGAGCTCGGACTCCGCTGTGGGCTCCGCTCTCTTGGTGGGCGCCTGCTGGCCTTCCGACGTCCGCCGGTGCGGCTCTTCCCGGCTCGGCTGCCGCTTTCCGCGGAGCCGGCTCCTGTCGCTCGCCGAGCCGACTGGTCGGTGCGATGCCGGGCGCCCCTGCATGCCCGCGCCGGTCGGCGCGTGCGCCGCCGACAAGGCCACGGTGCCGGCTGGAAAGTGCGCCTTTGCGGCTGCGTCAGGCGCTGCACCAGGCCCCGACAGTCAAAACTCTGGAAGGACCAGGAGGGCCAGCCGGGGCTCAGCGGACAGGCCCGACTTGAGGCCTGCCCGAAGTGAGCTCGCCCTCCTGGCCTGGGCGCCAGCCCTGGCGGCGCCGCCCTGTGCGAGGCAGTGCTCCCGAGGCTCCCCTTCGGGCGCGCCTCGCCCGCCGGCGCGCTCTCCAGACGCGGCGGGGCAGCAGGAGCGACGTCCTCGTGCCTCGTCCGCACCCGCGTGGCCTCCGCCCGCCATCCACGCGGCGGCCCCGGGGCGGCTGGAGGGGCATCTCCTGCGGGGGCGGCGCTGCCCGCGCACGAGCGCTCGGGGCCTCCAAGTTGGAGGCCTCTCCACCCCCTCCTCTCCATCTCCGCCTCCCCCCTCCCCCTCCACTCCATCCACTCCCTCCCTCCTCACCTTCCCTTCCTGCTGCATCTCGCCCATCCACCTCTCCGTTCCTGCTCCCTGGTTTCCTCCCTGGTCACTTCCCCCTTTCATCCCTCTGGGTGCACTCCGCCACTCCCTCCCTACTCCCGAAGGTGTCGTCCCTGTGTCCATGGTTTCCGCGTGGTCTTCTCGCATGCCGCCCGTGGTTGCGCCATACTTTTTCGCGCAAGGAGTAGATCGACGACGCTTGCCGCAACGTCGTTCTAGAGGCGACTGGCGGCGGCGCCGTTGGTTTCTTGTATAGGTGTTGTAGGTTGCCGTCGTGACGGCGGCCAGTTGCACGATGCCAAGTTGATCCATAAGAATCCAGGATGTCAGACCTCCATTTATCGGCGGCGGGCGACAGGTGGAAATGAGGTGGAAATGAGAAGGAGAAGGCATTCTCAGACGGCGGCGGGACTTCTCAGAAGCCCTCGCGCCTTCTGAGAAGTTTTGTTGGTCTTCAGGAAAGGCTTAGAACACTTCTAAGAAGGCTGATGGGACTTCCGAGCCTTCTGAGAAGGCCTTCTCCTTCTCACTTCCCCCCGGTCGCTGCCGAGTTGATCCATAAACATCCAGAGTAAAGGTCCGACCTCCCCTTGTGGCGCGGCCCTCCCCCCCCGGGTGGGCCCGACGCCTCCCTCGGATGCTTACGATGTTCGCTGGACTGTCCATGCTTCCCTGCTCACCTGCTTCCAGAGCCTCCCTCCCTCCCTCCTATCTGCCCCTTCTTGCCCCAGTCTATAGTCTATACACCACTCGCTGCGACGTGGTTTCAGACATAGAGTTCTGCTAGCCATGGCGCTGGGCTGCCCCCGAGCGTGCTCGCGAGCCGAAATCAGCGGCACGCGGGAGGGGTCGCGGGCAAAACACTGCAGGGGGAAATGGCAGAGCAATTTTAGCCCTGGCCCCCCCCTTCCGTTCCCTCTCCCATCCTCCCCTGGGCCCCGCCGATGCAGCGGCCAAGCTGGGAGAAAACAAGCATAACTTGCCATCGACTGCTGAGGTCGATTTGCAGGCATCCAGACCTGGTGCTCTCCCGACGTGGACCAGATGTGTAGCCAGAGCGCTGGAGTGCCACCAAGCGCCGAGCAGGCAGGGCAGTGGCGGCAAAATCCGCCGCCGTGCCAGAAGAGGGACTGGGAGGGCAGGTCCGCCAAAACTGTGCGCTGGCGTGCCACCCAGCTCCGAGCAGGCAGGGCAGCGGCGGCATAGCCCCCCGCCGTGCCAGAAGAGGGACTGGGAGGGCAGGTCCGCCAAAACTGTGCCTTCACTGCGGTCTTCCTGGGCGATGACGGCTCAGGGCATTTCTACCGCGGCGCCAGGGGAGGCGTCGAGTTCGGCCGGTAATGGAGGAGGAGGAGTAGGAGGAGGAGGAGGAGGAGGACCAGGAGGAGCAGGAGGAGGAGGAGGAGGACCAGGAGGAGGAGAGGAGGAGGAGACAGTGTAGAGAGAGTAGAGGATGAGGAGGAGTTGAGTTTACAGGGGGGGAGGAGGGGGACTTCTTCGATTTGAGGAGGACTCGGCTTGGAGGGGGGGGGTATGAGGAGGAGGTTCGGCTGGCAGGGCTTCATCTTCTTCCTCTGTTCTACCTGCTTCTCTCTCCCTCTACTGGCGGCTCCCCGCAGAGATCGGGCAGCAGCCTCCGCGGGGTGAGGCCGATTTCCCTCGATGCACCGGGTGTGAGTTCTCGGCGAGGGGATCCGGGGCTGTTCGGTCTGCCGCGAGCGCAGCCGTACCCTCCCCTCCTGCTCAGAGTGCTCGGTGCACGGGTCATAGTATCTCATGTGCTCTGCGCTCGTGGCCACACCTCGGAGACAGAAGGTGTGCCTCACCAGTCGGGCTAACACGCACAGGATCTGTATCTGCGGTGTCTGCGGTGCTCTCCTGCAGGGACAGTGGGACAAAGGTCTGCGAAGTCCCTGCCCAGGAGGGCTAACGAGCCCTCGCCTACGCAGCATCTGGACTCGAGCTGTCTCTTCGAGGCATACTGACCCCGCCAAAGGCGATGCCAATCTGATAGGTGAGCTAATCCCGCTCAGCCAGCTTGAGCGCTCCGCTAGTGTCCAGCTGTCGTGCAGGCGCGGCGGCGACCCTTGGGAGGGGGGGGGGCGAGATGTGTCCGCCCGCATCTTGTGTGGACTGCGCGAACCGCCCGTCGGGAACGCCCGACAAGAGCTCACGAGACGGAGCAATCTACCCTGCCCCGACCTCACGGGTCACGCAGCGTTTCTGCGCCCTCGGCCCAGGAGGTGGAAGGGCGTGCCCTGATGCACAGAGGTTCCACGCCACGAACATGTCACGACATCCGTCCCCCGTTTTGTAAAGGTCAGTTCCCCCATTACAGGAAGGGGGTGAAGGACCTTCGCCTCGACCAGCCCCATGGTGTCATGCCCGTGGCCCGAGGGTTTCTGCAGGCCCAGGCGGATGCCCTTGGGGCCCCCCCTGCCGCCGCCGTCGCCGCTCTGTCGCGTTCGACTTGGGGGCGGGCGGAGGTGGGTGGGAGGGACGAGGTGCTGCGAGCCGATGGGCTGACGGTCGAGGACCGCCCACTGGTGCTCGAGATGGGGCAGCGTGCCATCCAGCGAGCATCCGTCGCCTCCGTGGACTCCGATCTTGAGGAGGAGTCCGAGTCAGGAGGCTAGTTTTGACACACCGCCTTCAGGGCCTACCCAAGCCAAGCCAAGCCTCCTCCTCCTCCTCCTCCTCCTCCTCCTCCTTCTCCTCCCCCTCCTCCTCCTCCTCCTCCTCGTCCTCCTCCTTCCTCCTCGTCCTCCTCCTCCTCCTGCTGCTCCTCCTCCATTCCTTCTCTCTTTTATATATATGTATATAGCTTCTCCCTGTCGCACCCCGAGGCCAGTTTTTAAGGCGAGCCGGGCGTTTCGCTTGAGATTTCCTCACCATGTACGGTTATGAAATTCTGAAGCTTCACGGATGGAGGGAGGG